TTCATTTAAGGTTATTTAAGTAAATAAAAAAAATGTGGTGAGCTTAACAATTTTTGTAGTGGTAATATAATTACTCTTATTTTTATCAAAAAATTGTTTTCGATTGATTAAATTTTCACTATCTCATATTTTGCTGATATAATTGACTTAATGATTAAAGGAACTTCTATGTTTAAATTATAATAAAAACGATAGAAGGATCGCGTCTTACACCGTGGATTGAGAACTTAACGATGTAGAGGATTTATCGAGAGGTAGAGATGGATCATCTGAAATCGATGAGAACATAGAGATTTGATGAGAATGACTACAATCGCGTTTGGGTTTGCCGTGTTGGGGTTAGGTACATTGATAAAAACTATTGCACATTTAGAATTTGGAATCCCTAGGTTGGGTTGCGTAGGGTAGAGTCTGAGTAGGGCAAGGCAGAAAAGGTTTTGGGATGAATTTTTTGGGCCAATTTTTTTGACTTATTGGACTCGAGCTCAACCCAGCCCAACCCTATGCTAGATCCATCCTAGAACCAAAAAGGTCCAATGTTCAAAACAATATTCTAACAAACGTAAAGCGTGGTTAGACGTGGAGCCAAAACTTCAAGTTTTACAAGCCTATGCGAGGTTTAGACGTAAAAATTGCTTTTTCTCATTTATAATATTATTTTGAAATTTTAATCATTTTAAAAATTATTTAATAATTAAAATAATACAAATTAAACATCCAAAATTATAAAATACAATATTTACTCGGTCTTTGTTTGAACCCCATTCTTGCCAAAAAATGAATTTTTGAATAGTGAATTGATGAGAAATGTGTTGTTAAAAAATAAAGAAGGGTTTTTAATTTGCGTTTAATATTATATTAATGAAGAATATGTGGTAAAAATGATATCAAATCACTGTTGAAAATGTATTTTGATATAATTAGAGGGCTTAATAACTCCTAACATTTGTCAATTATACAATTTTCAAGTTTTCGAAGTGCAAAAATTAAAATAGTTTTCCTAGTTTCAATTTTCAATCGGACAAGTCCTACTTAATAGATTTATAAAAATTTCATACATGCTTTTGGAGTTTGTAATAAAATGAGTCTCAAGATCATAATTACAAATGTAGATAATATCATAACTTAAAATCTCATTTAACTATTTAGATAAGGTCATTTTTAATTTTTGTACGGATAAAATCTTTTGAAAATTTGAAATTAAAGTCAAACGAAAGTTTTTGAATAATAAGCTAAAGTCAAATAAAATATTTTAAAAAAAGAAAAACTAATAAAGTGCATCTATGGAATACGAAAGAAATGAAGGAAAAAATTCAACCGTTTAAAAATTGGAAAATAAAAAATCGTCTAGGCGTGAAGCGTTTTGCCCAAACTTTGAGTTTAGATAGCGCCTAGAAGAACATTTTAGAGCACTTGTTTATAATGAAAATTATCAACATGCTTTCTTATTGAGAGATTGGGATGTTGCTTTGTAAATTCACGTTATATGAAATAGATCGTGTAGGCTTCATCACAATCACTTTGCTAAGGCAAAACTATTAGAAATTTTTTTCCCTAGTTCTCATCCAGACAAGTCCTAAACCTACGAGGAGAGTGAGCTTAGCGAAGAATACAAGGCACAACCTTTAAAAGCGAGCCCATGTAGAGTTATTTAGACTGAGAACATACAATGAATGAAGCATAGAGAATACACGAATATCTTGTCCCGTGAGAGAAAACAAACAAATATCCTCTTGAAGTTCCACGTGACAAAATTAATTAGAAGACCACGTGAAAGATGTCAATGGAAGAATGCTGTGAAAGTAATTACTAGGCTTATGAGCGAACATTGCATGTCATAAAATTGTTAGAATTACAATCTGATATGGATCCTTAAATGGCACGACGACGCATTTTCAAGAAAAAGTAAAAAATCCAAAATCCTCTCTAGAAAATCGTAAAGAAGGCAATCGATGTTTAGAAACCTAGCAAAATTTCTGTTCTTCATCTTCTAGGAACTCTCACCATGAAGCTACTTCTCTAGAGCTTCGGTTTAAGAAAAATCTTGTCAAGAATCTCAAGATGATTATATGTTGGCTCTCATTTTTTGGAGGTCAACGTGGACAGATCTAAGGCACCGTTTGATTGGGTTTCAATTTCATGGAAAATGGAATTCCACGTTTCCCTTATTTTGTTGTTTGATATGTTTTATTTTTCTTAGAATTCAAATTCTTTGTTTGTCTAGGAATCTGAAATTTTTACTGTAGCATTATTTTCGATTTTTTATTTTTTTGGGTAATGGAATTATTATTGTAAAAAAATATTTCATTTTAATTGATAAATTTCGTGTAAAACAAGGTCAAACGAACACCAAAAAATAGATAATTTTCTTGATTTTTTTGTTTGTTTTGGCAATGGAAACAAATTTCGTCCCCAATACCAGTAAATTTTATCCTTTTAATTGAAAATTTTCAAGTAAAACAAATTGAACGTACACCAAAAAATACTTTTATTTCAACATTTTTCACGTGAAAAATTATACTAATCAAACACAATAATTTACAATTTTCAGAAAAATAATTTCTAGACAATTCAATTCTTTGGAATTCGATTTTTAGGCAATTCAATTCCATCTTTTCAATCAGACAAACCCTAAATGTTGTTTGTGTATTAAGTTCAAGAAAATCCAAATCCTTTCTCAATGAAGACCTTGTAGATCAAGAGTCTTTATTAAACAAAAATCAATGTCTTGAAACATGTTTAATAGTTAGTACATTTCCAAAAAACTCTCTATTTTTAAAGAGTACATTTAACAGTTTAGATAGCATCTATAAATTTAGAAAGTAAGAAATTTTAAGTACTCCATGAGGCTCTTTATTTTTATCACTTAATTTTACTGCTCTAAAAAAGTATTTATTATTTTTTCTTATCTTTTATTTTCACTAGTTTTCCTCCAAATTATCGCTCTATCCGTCCCATTTATATAGATTGACTTTCTTCATTTTCTTGTCCCAATTAAATAATCATATTTCTTTATTGAGAATATTTTATTTTGTTCGTTTACAAATATAACATTATTTAATTCGACTAGTTTTAACCAATTTTTCTCATTTAATTTTGAAATTGTACAAGTATGAATAAATATTAAATAAATTTCGTAATCCATGTGAAAAACAAAATCAACCTATAAAATGGGATTGGGGGAGTATTTTATTTTTCTACATTGAAAATTGAAAAAATTTGAGTACATTACATTATGAGTAATGCTATTCGTAGTGAAGACCGTCGGTAGTCGCCCTATGTGATATACACTTGATAATTTGGTATTTGATATATAGATATGGTAGTTATTTTTTGGATTATATATCAAATAAAAAACTGTCAGGTGTACGCCTCATAAAACGACTGTCGGTAGTCTTCACTGCAAATAATATTATTCTTAAATTATAGAGAGTAAGTTTGTCTCTTTAGATTTGAAGAGTCAAACCATCTCTCTATTTTAAAATGTTGATTTAAAGAATTTATTGGAGCAAAATTTTAAAGATTGACTCTATAAATTAGGGAGGATCTCATATTTAAAGAATCTCTTGTAAATGCTCATAAACAGTAAACTATTATTTGAACTACAAACACTATAACAATATCCAAAAATAGGTCTAGACACTTTAACCGGAATCGAATCTTTCGAACCGAAATCGAACTAGAATCGAAGGTTCTGATCCAATTTCTCGAAAAATAAATTAGGAACCGAAACCGAGAACCAATAACTGACTGGGTTTGATTCGGTTCTTGGTTCTTGAGCCAAAACCGTGGGTACTTGAGTGGTACTGATTTTTATAAAAAAAATTATTTATAATTTATAAGATGGAAAAACATATAAAATCTAAAAATCCTAATTTTGATAGTGATTAGTCTAAATCTTCAAACTCTAACATTAAAAATAAGATTGGCTCCTACTTTTTACATCTCACCTTACATCAAATTATTTTGTTTCAGGGGTTATTATATGTTAATGTTTACAATGAGCTTTTCAAAAATCAAAAATTCTAAATAGGTTGTGATATATGTTGATGAATCAAAGCGTTTATTATTTGCAATTCAAGTTTTTTACTTTCTTGTTTGTTAATAAGCTTAAGTGATTTTTTAAATTTTTTTTCATAACGCGTGGCAATTGAATTTGATATATTCATTGCTTGCGTTGTATTGTACTTTTTTTGTTATCATGAGTTTGTGATTCTCTTTTATATATATATATATTTATTTATTTATTCAAACAGAGTGAGTTCGATATGTGGACCGTAATTTTTTTAATACTATATTAGTTATGTATTTAATTAATATTTTTTTATCAGTTCGTTTTAAAAGTAGAAGAATTTAAGTATTGTTCATAATTAAATTATATGCCTAGTATGCTTCTCTTGTAGATATAAGATTTATTGAGAAAAATAATTTTTTTTTTCAAGTTATAGTTTCATTTTTTATCTTTATTTTATTTTCTCCTAATTTTCGTGACTTTTAGTATTCAATATTTTGCTCCTTGAAAAATTTTTAACTAAATTTTCTTTATTGCACAAATATTTTTGAGTAGTAGTGTATTAGGTATGTGTACCAAAAAGATCTATATAAAATATTTATTAAATAAATGTATATAAAATGCTATGAATAGATTCAAAGCCGAATCAAAACCGACGGTTTAGGTTTGGATTTGATTATAGTATTTACAAAGACCTGAATGATTCCATTTGCAAAATAATCGTAGCGTAATGAATAGTTCTGGATATTGAAATATCTGGACCGACTCACCCGATATCCAGGCCTATCCAAAAACCCAAAGATCACAACTCAAGATATGTTTATCGAAAAATTCTTTGGGACTCTTATTACATGAAGTCATAATGAGGCTCAAACAAGTGCTAAGTAGAAACAAGTAGAGACAGAAAAATCTGAAAAGACACAACCGTCCTCAGAAGGCTGCCGTTCACTTGAAGTATTTTTGTATTTGTAACAAATCTGAGGGCAATTACGTAAAAGGCAAACGGTCAACTCTTGCACAGAAACCGTGCCGCGTATATAAATGTCCGAATATACAAACTCCATTAATCTCTTTACTTTTGTGAGCGGCTAGGGTTTTAACAGAAGTCTCTCTCTGTGAGCTCTTTCTAAGCGGTTAGATCTCATCTCGTTCATCTAATCATCTTCAATTGTATTGCCTTTCCGTATGAATATTCAAGTCCATATTATTGTTATTGTTTCTTCGATTTTTGTTTCTCACTTTGATGAAGTAATGATTTATATATTGTTTCAGTTATCAGTCATACGCACGTGTATATAATTACGATTTAATTCTTATTACGCGCGGAATTGTATCTTTGCTGGTTTTCACATTGCAGATCTTGTTTTATGCGAGTCTTGAATCGTAGGACTTCATTTATGTCTGGTTAAGTCGTCTTATTTTTGGATTTTATGGATTGTTTTAATGGATTTGCTAAAATTAGCTGGGTTCTATACAATGTCTATGTACTTTAAGCTGTGTGAAGTTCTAGCATCTTCTGTATTTGAGATTTTTTTTTTTTTTTTGTGGTTTTTAAATTTCTGGATCAAAAAGTTGTTTTTGATTAAGTAGATTATCACTACTTTTTTAGTTTTTGTGATTGATTTTGGTCCTATCATATGTTGATGTTAATTCATGAAATTTAAGTGCAATGAAATGCAAAAATTTCCTGTTTGTCTGACTTCTTCGTTGATAGGTATACTTGGTTCTTCTGCAATCAGTAAATTTATCGTATTGTACATTGAGTAATTCTGTATTGCATTTTTTTCCTTATTGCTTGTTTATTAACTATTTGCAGGTTTTAGACATTCATCATGGGTAAGGAGAAGGTTCACATTAACATTGTGGTCATTGGTCATGTTGACTCCGGAAAGTCTACCACTACCGGTCACTTGATCTACAAGCTCGGTGGAATTGATAAGCGTGTCATTGAAAGGTTCGAGAAGGAGGCTGCTGAGATGAACAAGAGGTCATTTAAGTATGCTTGGGTGCTCGACAAGCTCAAGGCTGAGCGTGAGCGTGGTATTACCATTGATATTGCCTTGTGGAAGTTCGAGACCACCAAGTACTACTGCACTGTCATAGATGCTCCTGGACATCGTGACTTTATCAAAAACATGATTACTGGTACCTCACAGGCTGACTGTGCCGTCCTCATCATCGACTCCACCACTGGTGGCTTTGAAGCGGGTATCTCCAAGGATGGTCAGACCCGTGAGCATGCTTTGCTTGCTTTCACCCTTGGTGTCAAGCAGATGATTTGCTGCTGCAACAAGGTGAACTCATTTTCAATGATCTAGACAAATAATCTTTTCTTGTAGCCCATTTATGTAGAATATCTTTATGCTAATGGATACTAATCTTGTATAATATGATTTATCTTATGCAGATGGATGCCACCACGCCAAAATACTCCAAACCTAGATATGATGAAATTGTGAAGGAAGTTTCTTCCTACATCAAGAAGGTTGGGTACAATCCTGACAAGATTCCATTTGTCCCCATTTCTGGTTTTGAGGGTGACAACATGATTGAGAGGTCCACCAACCTCGACTGGTACAAGGGCCCAACCCTGCTAGAAGCTCTTGACCAGATTCTGGAGCCCAAGAGGCCCTCAGATAAGCCTCTTCGACTCCCGCTTCAGGATGTATACAAGATTGGTGGTATTGGTACTGTCCCAGTCGGTCGTGTGGAGACTGGTGTCCTCAAGCCTGGTATGGTTGTGACCTTCGGTCCCTCTGGGTTGACCACTGAAGTTAAGTCTGTTGAGATGCATCATGAAGCCCTTCAGGAGGCTCTCCCTGGAGATAATGTTGGTTTCAACGTGAAGAATGTTGCTGTCAAGGATCTCAAGCGTGGTTACGTGGCTTCGAACTCCAAGGATGATCCTGCTAAGGGAGCTGCTAACTTTACCTCCCAGGTCATCATCATGAACCACCCTGGTCAGATTGGAAATGGATATGCCCCAGTGCTGGATTGCCACACCTCTCACATTGCTGTAAAGTTTGCTGAGCTCCAGACTAAGATTGATAGGCGATCTGGTAAGGAGCTTGAGAAGGAGCCCAAGTTTTTGAAGAATGGTGATGCTGGTCTCGTGAAGATGATTCCAACCAAGCCTATGGTGGTGGAGACTTTCTCCGAGTACCCACCTCTTGGTCGTTTTGCTGTTAGAGACATGCGTCAGACCGTCGCCGTTGGAGTCATCAAGAATGTGGATAAAAAGGATCCAACTGGTGCCAAGGTGACCAAAGCTGCTGCCAAGAAGGGTGCCAAGTGAACCGTTTGTGCTAATGTTCATTCGATTGCAAGAGTACTTTATTATTACAAACTATGGCATAACTTTGTCTTCGTCACTGTCGTTTTAGTTGGTCAGTTATTTTACGTAGTACATTGTGGTACTGTGTCTTTTACGTTTGGTTGCCGTTCCCAGAACTGGGTGCTTGACAGGCGGTGGCGCAGCCTACGTATTTGAAGAGTAAGTTTTCCCTCATTCCCGTTTGTTTTGCCCTTTGAGGTGCTCTGGTTTATCCTAGCGGCTCAAGAGTTTTGTGTTTCGTGTCCTCCTCTACAATTGTAATAGATCTATTCTGAATTTGTCTTGATTCTAGTTACCATTCTGCGCATGATTATTTGTGGCTCAATCTTCATTTACATCGGTTGGATATTTTTGGTTGATCATGATTTTTAGTTGATCCCATAATTTTAATGAAAATAACCCCATGTTTTCCAATCAGTTTGATGTCTTTTAAATCCTAAATTTACATACATATCAAAATGTAGTAGATTGTAAAATGGGACTCAAATTATGTAATACGTATAATTTTTATGTAATACCAAAAGCAAAATATCAACCACTTGATCTGTGGCATCTGAAAAAATAAGTGATGTTATTAAAATATTTAAAAACGTGCGTGTAGCTTTTTAAGTACATTACTAGACATTACTTGTAGTCTTGTATACATACTAGTCTATTGCCTGTGCAATGCACGAGCAGGATTATGTTGAACGTTATGTTAACGTTTTTAACGTTGAAAATTGTTTAGTTTTTAATGTTGATATCAATTTACTGTTTAAAGAAAAAGTGAATTCATTAGTTAAAAACAGAATTATTGGATGTAAGCTATGATATTAATTTTGAAATGGAATGATTTAATATAATAATATTTCACTGTTTCTGCAATGGAAATGAGAAAAAGGAAAGTAAGACGTGTACAACAATCTTTAAATTTCAAGAGTAGTAATTTATTGCTATTTGATGGAATCCGAAGTCTTGTACATAGACAAAGATATAGACAGATCATGTTACTTTTTTGAGAAATATAAAATAGAACATTGATTACCGTCTACTGTCACAAAAGTAGTTGCAAAAGTATCATAGATATTATTCATTCATGTTTTTCTTTTGAGGTGATCCCAATGGTTCAGTCATCGATTTTGGAGCCTGTGTGAGTCCATTTTTTGAATTTTGACTCTGCTTCACTAGGTACATTTGATGGCTGGAAGAGAGACATTTTTACATGCGATGGATTGATTTCTTCAGTAGCGGTGGAAATGTCATCGGGTCGTCCGGACACCTTGTTCTTGCCTTTTACGTCTTTGTTGTTGGAATTTTTTTTCCATTTCAATTTGTTTGTTTTCATCTTCTGTAACAATTGAGGACTCAACTTGATTTGCGAGGAGTTGAACACGAATATGATTTTAAAGCGGTACTCAGGTGGGTCGTGGCGCTTTTCTGTTGCCTTGAGGTAAAAGAGTAGCTCTGTATCACTTTCCAATTTGGCAACGTCATTGAGTTCTTTAATACCTTTCTATAGTCGACGAAATATATTTAAATAGAGTGGCATGTTTGTTGTTAAGAAAGAAAGCATTTTCAAAGGATGTTGAACATGATGTTTTACCTTCTGAAAATGGTTCATTAAGTCATTGGCGCTACTTTCCAGTAACACTTCTGCTACATCTCTTATGATGGTTGCATCTAATGAACCGAAATTTTCTTCAAGTTGTACAAAAGCATTTACCCTAAAGAATGCGATTTTTTTTTTTTAACCATGTATTATGTACCTTGTTCCTGAAGTAATAATTAATAAATTTTTGAACTTATATTTAATAGAAGAAATTACCTTGGGATAGCTTTGAGTGTTCGTTCTTGCAGAATCAGCATTCATGAATTTCTCCAAAGTTCGCGTTGGAAGTTTTCTTGCAGTTGCTACAAGACATATACCAAAATTTTTGGTCTTTGAAGCTATTTTCCAGCGTGCATTCACCTAATAGAATTTTTCTATTGAAGGAGATGTCTCATGTAATTAGATAAAAGGATACGACTGAGAAAAATACGTAATGTTACTATAATATTTATTTTGAAATTAAAGATAACGTGTTTCTATTAATTATATTCAGTTTATATTAGTATAGAATTATCGTTAGATACCCCCCTAATAAATCCTTAATCGGTGTCAATTCATTATCAGTAGGAGGAAAAAGTTTGGGTGGGCTGACAGCAATAAAATGTTTATTTTCCGTCAGTTTGTCAAGCGCTTCTTTGTTAGCTTCCATCCTACAAGAAATAACGATATATTTAGTTATAAAATAGAACATTTATTTTTTTTTTTTGTATTAAAGGTACGTAAATAAGGAATATGTATATTAGTTATGTTGTATTACCATTCTTTGTACTC